TGTTACACTCTACACTGAGCTACAGTGGCAGTCTAACACACTTGATGTTACACTCTACACTGAGCTACAGTGGCAGTCTAACACACTTGATGTTACACTCTACACTGAGCTACAGTGGCAGTCTAACACACCTGATGTTACACTGAGCTACAGTCCTAGTCTAACACACCTGAAGAACAAGAAAGCACAATACCGTGACTGGAACAATACACAAATAACCCGCACATAGGAGAGAGAAGCTACGACGACGTTTCGGTCCGACTTGAACCATTTACAAAAACACACTGATGTTGCGCTCCTGATGTTTCACTCTACACTTTTACACAAGGCGACTGCACCTTATTCCACCCAAGATTCCAGCAGTAGTCTTCAAGCCAGTTCAAAGTTCAGTTATTTGTTCTTTGAATCTAGGGATGTGATAACTGGAAGATCATCAGGCAAGAAAAAGTGGCTGCTGACTCAGGTCTCCGCATAATAAAGGCAACCTGGAGAGAAATGTTTACATAAATAATGAATGCTTATGAAACTTCATGACTGGATAAGTTAAATGCATACACTGTTGACATACCTACCGGATGAACAAGTATAATATGCCGTAGCAAGAGAGTAACGTAAACAATTTTATATAATTAATGCTGGATGCACTGTTCTGGATGTTTTAACACGAATATTTGAATGAATATCTGCCTGTTTGATAGATGGACATAGCTCTTTGTTAACTCAAGAATTAATAATAATAAATATAATAATAATAATAATAATAATAATAATAATAATAATAATAATAAGAAGAAGAAGAAGATGAAGAAAAAGGAGAAGAATCACACTATACTCCAACACCAATGTTTACAAAGTACCTGGGTTTAGCGCTTCATTTTTTATAATAATAATAATAATAATAATAATAATAATAATAATAAGGTACCTGGTAAAGCGGATACTCTGAAACTACCAGGGTCGTTAAAATGCCAGGGAAGACCATTAGACAATCTAGTTTCTGGAAATTACATTTCTATACTATTTGGAGGGAGGTGCGCTGCACGAGCTGGTCTTGGAGACTGAACTAGTTCAGGGTGGGTATGTAGTACCCACACACCTGGGGAGTTAGACTATTGATGAAAGTTGGTTTTAGATATTGGACTAGTGGCGCCTACCCACCTGGGGGCTTCAGATTCTTGTGGAGGGAAGGCGCGTGTATGGTGTAAGTAGAATTTGGCAAAGTGGGAGAGTTAGGAGGTCGGCCTTAAGGGATGGTGACTAAGACAAGATGGTAAATAAGACAATAATAATATCTTTATTTCTACAGGTACATGTACAAGATATACAGGCCTAGCTGACATCAACGACATACTACTATATAGAAAGACCCTTGTTATGCAGAGCATTTCGGGCAAATTAGGTCAATTTTGTCCCAGGATGCGACCCACACCAGTCAACTAACACCCAGGTACCCATTTTACTAATGAGTGAACAGGGACGGCAGGTGTCTTATGGAAACACGTCCTAATGTTTTCCGGCCGTACCGGGGATTCGATCCCCTGACCTCAGTGTGTGAGCCGAGTGCGTTAGCGATCGAGCTACATGGCACCTAAGTATCTTAACTGGGAGACATTTTGCCCACTAGAGCCTTTATCAGTCTAATACAGAAACACGAGGAAGAAGCCTTAATAAGGCAGAGGTGGAAGTAGCGGTGTGCTGACTCATCAGTAATAGTGGCCACATAAGATACAATTAGCATAACACACCTCAGACACTCAAGCGACTCTCTTAACAGAATTAGACATCAACATACGACAAGGAATTATCCAGATTGGACGTTATGTCCTTCACCAGAATATCCACTACACAAACAATTGAACTATTACGACGCAAAGTGAAGGACAATTCTGTCCGCCAAAGATTTGTCGACCTTAATAAGCTATGTGTCCTGTACAACTGTTTCTCCTTCAAAGGTTCATTCTTCAGGCAGAAATTCAGTATTACAGTGAGCAACCAAATTAGTGTAATACTCGCTAGTTTATTTAGAAGGCACTTTGGAGTAAAGAGAGTTATCATCATTATTTCAAACATCATTTTTTTCTGTTACACGGATGACATTTTGGTCATTATGCCCAGACGTGTAGACATTAAGAAACTGAAGGAAGACATCAACCAAAGAGAAAACCATTTATATTCACAATGGCGGAGGAAATCGAAGACAAATTCCTATTTCCATGTATACTTCTGTGTAAACGAGGAAAGAAGTTAGTTCATTAAGTAAATCACAAACTCACACATAAAGACGACTTCAAGTACTTTTTTATTCGTGTCATTATAAGGAGACGAAGTGTAAGACCACGACAGAAATAATAGCAGACCTCAACAGCTTCTGGGTTTCATGACTGGGAAAAGTAGAATCGTTTCCCATTTCGTTGGATGATTTGAAACCGTCATTGTATACAGCAGTAGCATGCGAGTGTGACTAAATGCTCAAGGAAGGGTGACCATTAGTCCCGAGTAGAGATTTGTGACTTCGGTAATGAAAGAGAGGAAGGGTAAACATTTACCACACGGATTTCCTATGGCTGAAGCTAAAAACATATAAGAGAGCAAGAGGAAGGAAAGACAAAATACCTCAACACGGGTCTGGTGGCATACATTAAACAGCTCCAAGAAGGTGTGAGGGAGGGTCAGGATAGCACCATACCTTACACAGCACCAGGAAGGGGGGAGG